AGCGAAGCAATAGACGTCTAGCAGACAGTTCATTACACTAAAAACGATGTAGGATTGTACAAACACTGATTGTTATATTACAGACTGCATTTGTTGTAATATCACTGCAGATGTAGCAGTTCTCTTCATCAGTGCCATGCGCACAATATGCCTGTCTTCTCGTGGAGTAGTGCGTCGAGGCGATTGCTTCTGTCCATCAGTGTTTCCCTCCTCCATCTACCGATTTCATATTCGGATGTATGTCGGAATATTTCATATTAGGACTGTTTCTTGGCTACCTCTATGACTTATTTCTCAGACCGTATTTTCTTACCAGGCATACTGAAGCTATGCGAGGTATACACAGAAGACATTTCACCTAGAGAACATTTCACATTATTCAAAACTGCAGAGTTTTCTCCCTTTATAGACGGATGCTGCAGTCACCCATGATGGGCACGTGTGCTAAAATCGTAATCATTTGCGTATTCCATCGCGGTATATGCATGATGCACATTGCTCAAAACAGAAGAGAAACACGACAAAGTAAGGTATAAATACGACCGTTGCGCACTCTACTTTCCACTCTGCAGATTTCTTTGCTACTGATGCAGAGGGACCTGTACCTATTTGCCCCTCGAAGCCGATTGAGAAATTGACTAAATCTACGCGAAACACAAAGTTATTGCTTTGTTAATTTAAATTTCATACTGTTTGGATGCTTCCTCCATGGTGCTGCATTTTCGATATCCAGCAGTTTATTATCCATTTTTTCTAATAACTAGTCCATGAGTGACCGAGCGACAAAGTCACTGAACACTGGTATTTCAAGCGGGGTTTATCCTAGCCAACGGGTCGCTGCGTGAGAATTTTTTTTATTTTTTTTTTATTTTTCTCATGTATAATGTAAATCCAAGCCAATTTCTCTTAAAAAATCCTTCACAAAGATATCTTCTCTTATGCAGATAGTTCTCGCGTGCTTTGCCATTACCTAACAATCCAGTTGTCCGCACAACTACATGATAACAGAACAAAAAAGCTATTTCTTTATTGCTGCATCAGCTTTTAACCCATTAACCGCCAAAACTACAAGGAATGTTTCTTTTCTCATGAAAATAATAACAAATATTAAATTAAGCATTTATGACATAAATTTACATTGAAAATTTAAAAAAATGCTCTTACCTGTTGAAAAAGCGAGTGTTGCGTTCGCGCAAGGTCAGCGGAATAAGACTACGGATGTTTAGTGAGTAGGATTGTGCTCGTGTGATGTTTCTTTTGAGTGGAGCGCAGGATTACTTTTTAGCTGTATAACGTTTTATAAATCTACTAAATGACTTTACTTTTAATTAATTTAATATTAAAATATACATTGTATTTCTTTTACAAATACAAATTTTTTCAATTGAAAGATTCAAGCATGACAAGCTTGATTACAATCATGATGTAAAGCTACATTACATACTTTGCATCTATAAACAGTCTGGCTATGGTACTCTTTACAACAAGATCTTTTGTTATCAACGGACTTTACGATAAAATGTCTACCATCTCCATGCAATGGTTTTTGAATACTGAATTACGGTCTAACTAGGTCTTCCTGTTGCTGATCTATTTCTGGCTGATTCTACACTCTCAATAGAAGTTTGAGGAATAATGCATTCTCGCGTCTGAAATCTAAAAGAGACTTTATATTTCCAGTAGTAAAAAGTGATGATATTTAGTTAAGTTTAGATACGGTCTTATCTCATATAATTTATCAATATAGTCAATTTGACTATTGTCAAATGCAAATTCTGTTTCATATTCCTGTACTGCAAACACGTGATATCGGTTCTCGTACAACAGGAACAGAAATGTCCTTATCAAAAGACCAATACATTTTTTTCTTGAGGTAAAGAATGGTATCCTGTAAGCAATAATATTCCAATAAATCTTCTCATATAGGCTTCAGATGCAATAAATTCTGGGCGCTTTTTTTTTTTTTTTTTTTTCGCTGAGCGTATATATTTGTCTGTTCAACGAGAAGAGAAAACGAAAATCGAAAATCTGTGCACTAGTTTTACCTTGTATTTTGGTCTTTTATAATTTCTCTTCTATCTCTTTCTTTTCATGTTCTTCCTGAGACATAACTAACAGTTCCTTTTTTATCCACTTCAAGATTTCAGTCTTCTGCTTTTTAAGCTTTTTAGTATGACTATAACTGCTTTTAGAAGGCTGAAACTTACTTCTTACGTGAATTTCAACTTCCCCAGCAGTTTCATTTGGTAAAATATCATTATCATTATTCAAAACATTTCCATTCCTTTCTTCTTCGTCACTAGATTCTGAAATTTCTGGGGAACAACAATATCAGTTTCATTTTGGTCATTATTAACATTATCATCATCTGTTTTTTCATCAAAAAATCTTTGAAGGGATTCTTCTAATGTAAGATACCTCGTCCTAGGCATTTTTAAACAACCAGAACATGAACCAGAACATCGAAAGGAATGAGTGAAAAAGGAGATCGACTACCCGTTTCCTGCTGACGTTGCGTCAGCGCAACACTTGTTTTCCCTTCCTTCCCAACACAAATATAAACATCTGACTAATGTAATGTTCTGATAAACGGTGATCTTGACTAAAAATAGATCACTCATAAAGACGGCGATTCTTTCGTTAAATATTTTCAGCAAAAATACCCGGTCGAAAATTTTGCTTAAATTTTGCTTAAAGTATGAGATTAATTATTATAAACAAAATCATTGTTGAAGGCAAATATTTTTTTACAGATATAATCTTCATAATATTCCTTATACAAAATCATTTGCCTCAGACCTGTCTCGTCAGCTCTCTTCAGCCACTGGTACGACAGTTTCAAGGCAGACCGTGTACAGACGCTTAGGGCAGATTGGTCTATATGCTCGTAGATCTGTCAGATGCGTTCCACTTACTGCAACTCACTGTCGCCTGCGGTTAGCCTGGAGTAGAGAGCATGCCTTTCGGACACCGCAACAGTGGGCTTGTGTGATGTTTTCCGACGAGTCCAGGTTTAGCTTGCAGTCTGATTGATTCTCGCCGGACTTTCATATGGAGAGCTCCAGGTACCCGTTACCACCAAGAAAACATCATTGAACGACACCGTTACGGTGGTGCAGGAGTGCTCGTTTGGGGGTGGAATTATTCTGGGTTCCAGAACTAACCTGCCTGTTCAAATTGGAACCATGACAAGCCAAATCTATCGAGACGTCATTCTGGAACAGCATGTTTCGGGGCGCCATGGTCGCGCAATTTGTGTTTATGGATGAAAACCCGTCCTCACCGTGCAAACGTCGTAAGCGAATGCCTTCAATCGGAGGATATCACCCGTATGGACTGGCCAGCATTCTCACCGGACTTGAATCCAGTAGAGCAGGTGTGGAACATGCTTGGCCGACGAGTTGAAACCCGTCAACCTCCTCCTACATGTCTACCGGAACTTCGGAAAGCATTGCTTTTTGAGTGGTGTAATATTCCCCAAGAACAGATCAATAATTTGATACTCAGCATGCCTAGGCGTTGTACGGACTGTATTGCATCGTCTGGGAGACATACAATGTATTAACAATCATACCAACCATGTAATATTGGTTTTTTGTAAATAGGTTTTTTTTTGTAATTTGCTCCAGGGAGAAAAAATCGCTAATTTTTTTAATAAATATCAAACATATAGCATCGCTTTTTGCTCTTTACCTTTTGTTTAATAAATAAGCATTACAAATAAGTCAAATTTGTTTTGCTTCTAACTCTTCCTTTGCCTGATTTTGCATTATCCTTAATTTATGGACATGAGTGTAATTACTTATTTATTTGAGTAATTTTGTAATTGAAACTTTTCCATATTTACCTGTGATTCGTGCAGATATGGAGGCAAGACTATAATCTCAAGAGGAGGGCTAGATAATATTTGTACAGTCACTGGGTGGAAAATAGGTGGAGGAATTATGTGTAGAAAAGAAATTAGGTGGAGGAATTATGAGTGGGAATGATGACAGTATACGAAGAGACTATCAGTCCGCTTCAGTATGATTTTCATTTGCTTCGCATACTTCTTTCTCATCAGTTACGTATGCTATTATCGGAAAGTGCAGAATCTATAATAATTCTTTATAGACTTTTCCTGTTATGTAGGGTTTGTTCGAGCTTTCATTTGCGCATTTGTCAGAAAGTTCTCAAATACATAATGAGTTAGGCTTCCCATGGGAAGTGAATTTCCACTGTCTCTTACGGAATTTGATTTAGCAAAGTTTTTAATACTTCGTGCATCTAATTTGATTTAGCAAAGTTTTTAATACTTCGGGCATCTAATTTGAATTAGCAAAGTTTTTAATACTTCGTGCATCTAAATGAGTTTAATATATGTTTGAATAAAAAATGGTTCAAGTTACTCTTTCTTTTACTGCAAATGACATTCCAACATACTGCTTCTTTTATATGGTATATATATATATATATATATATATATATATATATATTATATAAAGCATTTAGTCTTTAGATTGCTCTCAGAAATTTAATGTACTCGGATTGCTCTGTAGACATCTTGACTTTGTGAGTAACTTGTAGACTTAACTCTGTGTACTAAACCTTCCTTCTTGGGATTTCTGTTTCTTGTGAGACTTCGATTAGAGACTGGTATGGTTTCATAATTAGTTTAATTAGCAATATATAAATTCCAATTGATCTTGGAATGAAATTAATAATGTTCAAAGGATTTTAATTTCTTGGTTACATTTTGTATTTACCTGTTACATACCTTCTCGTAAATGTGAAAGCTAGACCATCAGTTTCGCATCTTTTGAAGTATAAACTTTGAAATAAACTGCACTTTTCAGGTAAGAGCATGTTCGAAGTGTAAGGAGAGAAGAAAATAATTCATCATGTATGAAGAATCATACATTATGGGCTAATATTTATGCCTTTTATTCTATTTTATTTTTAAATGTTTGTGTTAGATTAAACATTACAAGAAAGTTTAATTTTTTTTTTAAACATTTCAGGCGGTGACATTGAAGAACGTGGACTCTTTGCTTCGAGTTTCTGATACAAGTCCTTTAGGAACACTTGGTTTTGTTCTGGACGAGGAGACTCTTTTAGTGCGAGTGAGTGGAGGATGGCAGTACGTTGCGGTAAGCACCTGACTAAAACCTGCAGTACGGAATATGCTTGACTTACGATAGCTTATATTTATGATGTCACTGTCTCTCTTTTATGTTTTTTCTTCTTTTTATATGAATATGAAACCATATTACAAAATCTTAACAGTACAGGCAGTCCTTGACTTCACAATTGCTCAATTTACGGTTTTCAGTTTTTGTAATAAATTGAAAACTTTAATCTTCGTTTTATCGCAAATATGTTATGTATGATGTATGTAAGTGCATACAGATAGATATAGTATGCCTTGTTTTCCATGCAGAAATATAAAATGTAAATGAAAAACAAAATACTCTGTGAAAACGTGATAGCTTTCTGAATAATGAGAAACATTAAAAGTGTAGCGACAATTTAGATACAATAACACGCCGAACAAATATAAATTTAGAAGTCAAACAACAAAAGTCAGCGTTATATTTTCAAATTTCTCAGGACTAGTTTCGATGATTTTAACGAACCATCGAAACTAGTCCTGTGAAATTTGAAAATATAACACTGATTTTTGTTGTTTGACTTCTAAATTAATATAGAGACAATGCCATATAATTTTTTGCTAACATCTGAAATCTTAGCAAACTGATAGTTTGGGTTTTTCCTAAGTTTAAATACTGAGCTCCAGACATTATTTACGCTCGTATGCTTTCGTTTATCTATATTGTAATGAATATTGTACAAGGACATTTTGCACCGCCCTCTATATCATAACATTTCTAACAAATTTGTAAATTTTTTTCAATGCTAAAAATAACTGTATTTTAAATTACAACCAAAAGTTTTATGAACATCATTCAGTATTTAATGGTTTGGTGGTCTTCTGCATATATTCGTCAAATAGATTCATTTAGCATCGAAAATATTAAACTTTTTTCTAACCTTTCTATTGTACTTTAATAACTGAATTTTCCACCATTCCTAGTTTTACATGTAAACTATATGCTGCATTTTATTCAACTAAACTCTAAACTATCAGTTGTAGATATTAAAATTTTAAATGTTTGTCTAAAAATCTCATTTTGTAAAATTCTTTAATTATAAATCATTTCAGAGGCAAGAAATTTGAAGTAATTTTACATAGATGATTAACATAAAAATGCAATGACAATTCATTTCATTTGTGCTAAAATTGTTTTATTAATTTGTTTTTCTTCCTTCATTTTCAGTTAGGTTCTTTAGTACCTCTTCCATCGGCTACAACAACGGTGAGTAACATTTTGTTCATTTGAAGGAATATTTTCTAAAGAGGGCTGTACTGTTAATTTCATATATATATATACAGCGGGTTTTTAAAATTGATAGCAAAATATGAATGTTACATCTTTAATCAACTAGGAAAACTTTCGAGCAAATTCGAATTAGAGATATATATTCGTAGCATGAAATAAAGTCTAAATACCTCACTCATAAGCATTACGACGCTAATTTAGAACGTGAACGTCTTGTGTTTTTTTAAGAAATAATGCCTATAAAATAAAAATTCGTACTAGTGAAATATTCAGGAAACGTAAGTGAACTGAAATAATTTTACACTCAAAATCGGGAAAATTAATTTCATTATGCCAATTATAACCTTGAGGAATTTTTGCTTAGCATTTAAAATTTCTCATTTCTCGAGGAAAGAAATTTCCCTCTAAGAAATTTTATTATATTATTATGCAGAATTAATGCAATTTTATTTTGTTGCAAATAGACATTTAAGTAAATAAGCACAAATTCCTATATTACTATTATTTATTACGTAATAAAAAAGGAATTGAAGATTAGAAGAAAAATAAATAAAATATTAGAATCAACAATTACGAAAAAAGGTTTAATGCCCATAAGGAGAACCAATATTTGGCTTTTCTTCTTCTGACTCGTCCACCAGTAAGCAAGTAGATAACATCGTAGTTCACTAGTAGTTCAACCTAGGTTAGAATCCCCGCGAAAGCATCTTTTTCAAGAATATTTCCTTGGTCCGTGTGTAATCTAAATGCTAGCCAGTTTTCCTTAAAAAGTTCATTCGCCAAAGTTACGAATTCTCAAGGACGGATATTCTTTGATTACTTTCCCTTAGGCTATTAGTGTAGCGAATAATCCGCATTATATTCGCATATTTTAAAACTTAAGCTGATATGGATAATGAACATAGGTTAACTATTTGAGCTGCTAACGATCTCAACTTTCCATTGAATTATTTATTGCATAAAACCAAAAAAATTAAATAAAAATCGATAAGAAATAGATTAATCTAAAGAAAATTATTGATCATCCACCGCATCCAATTTATATGAAGCGAAGATTTTGAAAATTCAGATTTATATAATTAAACGTGATATGAAAAAGCAAGTAAGGTAGCGTACAACGGAAAGCTTTTTGATTTTAACAATAGGTATTTGTTCAATATCGAAATAACAATCACTTATGCCTTCTTGACGGAAATCAGCTGTTGTTTCATACGTCATAGTGATGTTTAGTAATGTTTATTAATAATATTATTTATTAGTGCTTTAATAAATCATATTTAACAGCGTTATATTTTAATACAAGAATGCAATAATATACAAGATACATAATCTTTAAAAATTTTAAGATTTTTTTATTCTGTATACTATATCTAATTCATAATTTTTATAAATCTTCATATCATCAGTGTAATAAATAAAAGACATAACTAATGTCATATATTTCATAGTTCGTTTGTGTAATAATAATTTACACGCTGTCTAATAATGAGTTTGCTACAATTTTGTTTAATGGCTGCCGTGCTTATTTTTGAAAAAGGACATTGAAGTAAATATTAATATATTTTTGTAAAATACCCTTCATAAATTTCTTTTCCCGAGGAATTACTTAAAATTTTTAAAAGCGAATATTTTGAAAATTTTGGTATTTCTCGATGTCTTTGGAAACTAGAAATAAAAAATTGAACTTAATCTTGAGAAAACCTCCAGATGGATAATTCTGAGCATTGATACATTTAGTATGGAACAATTAGTCGTCAAAGCAAGCTTCTGTTTTGTTATCTCAGTCAAAGCTTGGGTTTATTAAACATCAGTTGGTAATAAGCACTGACTTATTATCAATATTTTAGTGGCTTAAATATATTAATTCGTTCTTGAGTATCTCAGAAAATATTGCAAAGGTTGATAGGTTGCTTAATAAAGATACGCATAAAGGAACGGAGTTTTTTCCGATTAATGTATTGAAACGTAACATATATTTCATGAATTGGAATCTTTCTTCGGGGAAAATCTTACAAAAGCTTAAATTCTATAATTACAGAATTCTTTCACCCACATGGTCAAAAACTCCCTAAAGTCCTGTACTAAATTTGAAGAAACTTTATAATTGAAATTACGTATTTAAAACTATTATTTAAGGAACTGTAGCTTACAGGCACAAACTACTTAGCTTGATAAAAAATGAGTCAATGCCCAAAAGTGTCGAATTTAAGAATTCTGCATGCACTCTCTGGCTCACGGTCAGGAAAGCAGGTATCGGGGCACTGCAGACCATGGCCCACTAGGGCTTTTGCGCCACTGAGTTTAGTTTAGTATATTTTTAACAAATTCCAATAAATCCGCTAAACGATAAATGACAGCATTTATTATTAAGACTTCTCAACTTGCTTTTTTTGAAAGTGTCATCTGTTTACATAGAGTTTTTTATGCAGTTAATCGCTTGATGTGAAGTTGTGAACTTCTGCTGCTGTGCCTTGAATAGTTGAAATATTTCATGTAATGGTTTCATTCAAACGACAGGCATTCGTGCTAATTTTTTAAACAAATTGTGGTTAGAGATAAAACCTAGTATTTTATTGGTAATCTTGAGATAAAAGGCAATCATCTACTATGGCTGGAGAAGATTCACTATGACCAGATAAGCTTTCAGAAATCTTTTGAATGGATAATTCGCAGGGGATTTCGCTCTGGGAAGCATATGATGAAACCCATATTTAATAAAGGCATAACATACAGACATCTGAAAGGATTTCAGCTCATGATGGTTGAGAAAACTCAATGGAATAAACGGTTGTTACACGACAATGTACTCTCACACAAAACCATTCTCGCAAAGGAAAATGCCACAATTTTCTACACCTCCCTACTAATTCGCCAACTTTGGCATTTGTAGACTATTATTTCTTCTTTGAAAAGTAAAATCTCAAAAATTATTTAACTATTTAACAGCATTTTAATAAGTTAAAAAAAAAAAAAAAAAACACAACAGAGACTACAGTATTTCAAACGTTTAGTTTCAGAGGAAAGTCAAGCAGCTATATAAACGCGGTACGCTATTTGCATATATTTTCACTTACTAGAAAGTAATTAATCCTTGGAAAATATTTCTTTAAAATTCGTCCATATGCTTATCGAAACTAAAATCCTCAAAATGTGCAAACAGGAGTTTTGTTCTTTTTTTCCAAAGTGAAAAACTGAAAAGTGACTTTTCATTTACAGTAATCATATCTCTTCTTTAAATAACTCTGTGTTAGTTCTGCGTCCATCTCAAGATGAATTTAAAGTATGGCAGACCGTTGTCTTCGTAGAAATTAGGATCAGGCGGTATTTGAATGTTTATGACTGGTCCTATTCTTTTCGACCTTCAACTAGCCCTTCGCCTAAGAAGGTCCTGAAATATTTAGAGCGACTTCTAGTCAGTGATAAAAGGGAACTTTTGCGAATAAAAAAATAGAACCCCATTTGGAAAAGATCTTAAATACATCGTCTACGACATCGACCTGTCGGCCGCATTACAGAAGGAACGTTATCTCTTCTTCTCCGGTAGGCTGGAAATCTAGGCAAGGTTATTATATGTCGGCCATCTTTGACCACCTGGCGCAAACAAAACCTGGAAATGAAAATCTTCAAAGATGAAATAGAAAAAATAAACCCTTCCGGAAAAAATACGACGAACAAACTTCATTCTTTATATTGAATAAATTCTCAATTATTTGTTCTTTGTAATTCGTTAATAAAGTAAAAATTTATTTTAGAATGATCGTGTTAAATTAACATCGATTTTTGCATTTCATAAATCTATTAATAGCAAACTAAATAACTTCTTTTCTAGACGCTGATGTATTAGTAAATTATACTTTGGGGAAGAAAGTTATTTTAATTATTAACTTATGCAGTATATTGTGAGATCCTGTAAATGAAAGTAGTTAGTGATAAGTAAGAGGTTTCAGTTTTACAATGGCATGACATCGAATTTTGAATTTATTTTCTTATCTTAGGGAGACGTATGTGACCTATATTTATATCAGTGCGCATATGGGTAAGGATGTAGAAATCTAGATAACAAGATTTTGTACTAAGCAAAACAGCAACCTCAGTTTACGGTAGATTTTGATTAAAACTCCGTCAATTTCGAAGGCAGCCAATCAGACGTAGATACCAGTTCTTCAAACGCAAGAACATTTTTTACCCAATATGAAATTATCATGCCTTTCTTGCCTTTTATTAAGATATGCATTTTACATGTTTCTCTTGCATTTGAATAGATAAAAAATCTCACGAAAATTTAATCATATCTTTCCAATAAAAACTGTGTCTGTTAAGTACTCAGTGTTTTTGCTCAAGTACCTTTTTTAGAACTTTCTCTAACCTCATTAAAGGAGAGGCTGATGAATTTGCTATTGCAAGATGACTAATGTTCAGCAATTAAAATGATTTTGTCAGACTATAGGATAATACAAGATTTCTGAAAATTAGAACAGTTTGCTGTTTGACTTTTAAATTAATACTTGTTTAGCGTGTTATTTTATTTTCATTATCTTCATCAGAACAAATTTAGGATAGGCTAGGCTATGGTTTTATAGGTTAAGTGTATCAGATGTACTTTAGATTTTGTAGAATTGAATTCTGCCTAACATAAATCGTCGACAACTAATAGTTATCCATGAAAATGAAAATCGGCTTGTGACCAAATATGGCCGGCCCTTGCATTCTTAAATCCGTTAACGATTCTATGTAAATCAGTGGCTGCCATCTCATAAACTTGATAAAAGTCGAGGCTTCTAAACACCCGTAATCAGTGTTTTATTGGACATCCGATGGACATCTTTATCTGGATCTTTGGATCCTATAATTTTGACATTCGATGGAGTAGCTGCTACTGCCTGGGTGGCAAAGCGAAGCTCGGAATTGAAAAGGAAGAAGATTTTTCTTGTTTTTGTATTTAAGTTGATTTTGGAATGTTGGTAAATTAGATTTAAATGTAACTGTATGATAGCAAATGCAGCGACTTTATTATTTTTCTACTGTTTTGTTTTTCTGTTGTTTTTAATGAAGAAAAGCAAATAGCTATTGTATGAAATTCGACTTCATATCACGTAACACTTTTTTTTCCCAAGGGTGGCAATACGCGAGTGGAATTTAATTACGAACTAATTACGTAATTAGTTTTGATTCTGTCAACCTAAGATGGAAATGAAATCAGAAACCTCACAAATAATAGAAACAATTACCTTGCATATGGAAACTTAAAAATGTGACATCTAGTGTCTTTGAAATCAAACTACTTTGATTAAGACATTTGTAAAAATAGTTAATTGACCTTAATAGAAATAACATCATACACACACTGAACATCTAGATAGGTAAGCTGCCTCTTTTGCTGTGTATCAAAAGCACCTAATTACCGTAAAACTATTGTATTTATTTATTTTTGCTTATGATATGGTATTTTATTTCAATAAAAATGATAGAAAAGCGCCCACTGTCTGCTTAATAACAAAATTGCTACATTTGAATCAGACTGAATTTTACAGAATATGAATTTCTATATCTGGTTAAGAAAATGCTTAAAAGATTTTTTGTGCCATTATTATTATTTTTTTAATATTTTAGACAACAACAACCACACCTGCTCCTCTCAACCCTCCTGTTGGGACTATGAAAGCGGATAATACACCCAGGGTAAGCAGTCATTATTGCTATACGGATTTTGAATTTATCTTCTTATCTGAGGTAGAATTACGTGGCCTAAATTGATATCAGTGTGCATATGGGTAAAGAAGGATGCAAAAAACTAGGTAGCAAAATTTTATTATTAGACAAATCACAATTTAGAGATTGCTTTTTTTATAACATTATCATTAATTTTTTAAATATAATTAATGCTTTTTTGCTGGGAGTAAAATAATTGTTCAACACTTTGACAGCATTTTATTAGAAGGAAACATTCATAACACACACACACACACACACACACACACATATATATATATATATATATTATGAATATCCCCATCCCGGGGGTATATATATATATACTTTCAGTTTTAAACCATTGCACTTCTCTGTGTTATAAAATACCATAACAAAGCTTTACGATGTATGCCTTACAAAGTTAAGAGAGCTTTACTAATATGCCTGAAAAAAGTCACAAAAGATTACATGGAGTAGACTAGGATTTAAGAATTAAGTAAATGTAGCTGAAAGAGAAATACAACAACGTAAAAATTGAAATTTAGTCAAAAAACGAGTTTAGAATGGTGTAGATTTTGAATAAAACTCTATAAGTTCACCAGCGATCTAGCGTATGCCCTCTTCTTCAGAAGTAGAAACTATTTGGCGCTAGACAGGAGACTGGCATTTTTTTTATTCCTAAAAATAAGAGGGATCTATAGCAGATTGCCCTTGAAATCGAGTCTGCCTTATTTAAAATCTTCGCCGATCTAACATAGTTTCTTCACCTAATTTTTAACTAAAGATATGCTTTATATTTTGAAAGCAAGAGTTCTGACGCAATTTATCTGAGGCGTGAGCCATTTTCCATGAAGCCGACCCGAACAATTTGTAAAGTTTAGCTTAATTAACACGTTATCTTATTATTTCCATCGGCATGAAGGCTGTTGTGTTCTTTCGTGACTTATCTCCTTGTCTGACAGTAATATCACAACAAGCCCACGAAATACAGGGCAGCAAGAAAAGCAGGATTGCGCTTGTTGTTCGCAAGCGCCTTGAGCACCATACAGGTGACAGAGCGACTTCGCTCAGTTCCGCCCCAATTTCGATGGAGTGCATCCCGGGAGAAGGAAGGGTCCGAGGGTCTCCCCACCCCTCTTACACTACCATCAACTTCTCGAGAAGACTTTCGGCTCGCCGCATATTTTAGTGTGGACCCATGCTGCTCAGTTACTAATCATTTACCAGCATCAGTGTCTTCTTCAGGAGTCGAAACCGGGCCCTTCGGTAGGGCAGTCACCGTCGCTAACTACTATTCCGGGTGGGCAGCGCATGAAGGCTACTTTGTATTGAATAACAGCCTACACTTTAGGTAGGGAACATGGTATAGCCGACGTATACTTTCGATGTTAAATAAGTCCACAGGAAAATAGCAAATCGAAAGATCGTAGTAGCAAATCAGATCATAGTAGCAATCAGATCATACTTTTAGATCGAAAGATCATAGTAACAAATCGTAAGATCAAATGTTCTAAACTTAGCCGAATACCTGACGCACGGGCAAATGTACCATCTTGTTAAAACCACAGGTCGATTTGTTAGGCGCTTGCTGTGGAAGTGCTGTGCATTGACCTATATTCAGTATTGCTGTTTGATCATCTTTCTTACAAAAATACGCGTTGATCACTACCAAATACAAAATGGGTTATAGTATAGTGTGTAGTTTCAAAGTCACAACTACACTCCGTTGTGCCGTAATGGACGCTCATGAAATTGTGAGGAGTTTCACTGATCGACTCTAGCAATATGTGAACGGAGGTTGATGGCAGTTGCTTTATGTTATTTTCCGAACATAATAAATACTTGCACAAGTTTAACCTCTACTACTGTGTTATTTTATTTAGAAAAAGATCGGAATTTATTTGGCAATGCCCTTGCCCAGATTCGAACTCCTTATCTCCGAATTTTTAACCGGAACTTCTTTCAATTACATCAGGAGGGCACGCAATAAAGAAAGAGAAAATACTTTACATTCTCCCAACTTAAACGGCGACTTAAGATAAAGGGACCCAGTTTTCAATTCCAGGTGAAAACGAAATATCATCCACCACAATTAAGTCAGACGCCATCTTTAGAGTCATTAGATTTGTGGAGACAAGAAATGGCAAAAGTGATCAGTGGCCTCACAAAGATTTGAACTCCAAACCTCCATACTACTAACCGAACTTACTTCCAATTGCATCACGAAGGCAAGCGGTAAGTAGGGAGAAACGAACTTATAGTATAAAGGATTAACTCCTAGACTGCACATTTAGATAATAAACGCAATTTATTTATATTTTATTTTATTTTATTTTATTTATTTATTTATTTTTTTTGCAGATATTCATCGCGAAACCGTTGCTTTAAGAATTCCTTGCAATACATGCCAGTGTATTGACCATACTCTACTACACTTAAATTAAGATTACAAGGATATATTCCTTTGGATTTTTGTTCTTATTGATTACTTCTAAAATGTGCTAACAAATTATTTCTTATATATAAGTAAAAAATCAAATGTTTTACTCGTAAATAATTCTTGATAATGGGGAAAAAAGTATGCTTCTACATTTTATTACTTTATTCGAGAAAATAAACCTAATATTAGTGATGGCTTTACATCGGTGAATCAAATTTTATTTTCTCTTATATTTTATTGCATTTCTTACTCTTTTTACAACTGAAATATAAGTATTCGCTCATTTAAAATTAAAATTAAAATATAGTCTACAACTTCTTGTGTGATTAAAATATAATTTTAAGCCATAAACATATTTCTTTTATTCATGCAACTGTATATTTTGACAGCTGACCGATAAAAGAGTGTAATTTAATATATACAATAAAATATAAGTTCTCTTTACTATCTATCAGTCAGCGTGAGTGACTTCATCATTAAATGAACTGTTTTACCTTGACTAATTAGCTATCTTTAAATATGAATTTTTAGATGAAATCTTAGCTAACAATTTAGCAAACGTAAGTTTACAATTCAGGAAACGTATTTTACAATCGAAGGAGGAAAGTTCTATTTAGTTTTATCTATTTGGTGTTTACTAATGACTGTATAATACTCACAGTAAATTTATTTCATTTCTTCCCCATTTTATGCTTCCAGATAAGGAGGAAGGTGAGTTGATACATATCATGTACATTTTCATTGTATATGGAATGCCTGGTTATATAAATTTCTGTTTAGAGTTGCATAAGATTTTTATCTGCAAAACTGCTTCTGATATAATTATGGCATCTTTTTTTCTCTTGGAAAAAAACTAGTTTAGCGATATTACGATAAATTATCTTTACCTAAATTAAAAATATTTGCTATATTTTCCAAATATTAATATTGCTCAATAAAGCCTAAATATTTTTCACTTATACATTACTGAATGGGAATATCTAAGTATTTGTAAACGTTGTGTGCCCATGAAATAGTTGGCTTAAATTGTGCGAAATGTATTGGTGGAATTAGCTTCAATAAATACTTCGGACGTTTTGGGAGGATAAGGAGGTTGTTTGGAAAACTAAAATCGAGCCGCATAGTTTGAAAAAATTGAAAAAAAAATTAAAAAGTTATATGTCACAAAGCCTAAAATACACAGGTTACTAAAGAAGTTACCGTGAATATTTAAATAAGAATATTTAAAGAAGGAAAAGACATAGTTTTATTAATTTCAAGCAGAATATTACGTATAACTTTGAAACACACTTATTCTAAATTGTTATTAGATGATTAGTGCTTTAATACAGTAGATTGCCTCTCTTTGGCTGCCTGAATGTCCTGAAAGGTTTAAAACGGTTGCATTTCGTTCTGTTTTCAACTTTTGGGATACGCTAAGCCCAGTACATAATAATGCACTGCAGAGATTTTATTTCACAAAAACAACAGTATCTTAGAGAATGTGTGACATAGATCATTGTTATGATGAAGGATGAAACTTCATGATGAAAGATTTGTGTATATTTTAATTTTATACGAAAATGTATTTACCCAAGCAATCATCTAAATAAAAACAAAACCATTTAACAATTAAATTAAAATTATATGCAGTTGCTAAGCCAGAGCAAGGTTAATCATTTCAAAAATTCCCTATGGAGCTGAGTACTTATATTGAAATCGGTGTTACTTCAAGAAAGAAAGAAAAACTATTGAAATTTTCATGCGTTTGTAAAACTGCAGCTAATTCAAATACAAAGAGTTATAAATTCTTCGTTCAAAATACTAGAAGCCTGCTTGATTCAATGAATTAATAAAAACCGAACGGCATTTTTATTCCCTATAAAACACTGGAAAACGCACTGTTTCTCAATAATTATTTAGACATTTATGGTTCCTTCAATGAAACTGTAGACTGCTTTATACGCTATGGAATATGCTATAGCATTCACGAAGTGATCAGGCAATTGGATAATCAAATGCAAATTATTCAACTTCACAAGTTATTAAAAACTTAATGATTGCATGATGAAGGAAGAATTATACCTTATTAAGTTTTGAAAGTTAACAGCGTGAGAATCTTTCAAAATGCCTTCAGATTAAAGCATTAGCAATGCAACAGGAAAATAAATTCTAGGTTTAAACTGACAATAACAATGATACGATATTTAACACATCGATATTGTACATTTAAACGATATTATACATTTAAACTGACAATAACTATGATACGATATGCAACCGTTTCTGGAATTTCGAAATTAAAACCTTTCGTCGCAGTTTATAAATCCTGAAAATGTCTGCGAAAAAAACTGCGAAAATTAAATTAAATTAGAAGAGTATCTGTTTATTGTGATTTCAGTCGTATGCTTGGATGGACATCGGGATTTTAAAAAAATGTTCCCTAACATTTTTTCCAGATATAAGCGAATTGGACAAAAAAGGGTCTGAAAAGAAAAAGATAGTTTTTCTAATTGGCAATGCTCAGGCAATCAGCTCTTCTGGTGGTGGACAGATTGTTATAAAGTTTCTTACACCTAGTGTGCCTTCAAGGGGTTATATTAGCAGTGAAACAATTTTAATTCTTTTATTGATGGTACTTGAGAAAAAAATTTTACAGTTAAAATACTAAAATGAATGTTACTCAATGAATACTTTACGAAGAAATATTATAGTTAAAGTACTCAAGGATCAGTCTCTAGATCATTTTTGTGGAATCTTATAATTAATCATCTTTTGGGCGAATTATCTGCATTTGAAAACTGTTTTGAAATTGCTTTTGCGAATAATCTGCTTTTAATTATTCAATCTAAAACCTTCGTTGGTGCTTGTTCTTTGTCTCGAGATTTACTTGATACTGCTTTTCAGTAGTCTAATCCTTATCAAATGAAATTAAACCCACTCAAAAACAAAATTATAATAGTACATAAAAAGATGAATACTGACTGCAGAATAAGTTTATCCCTTGGGGACGTTCTTATAGAAGAGTACTCAAATAAAGTATTTATCAGTGATCTTGGATAAAAAATTTCAGTGGAAGTATCATATTTCCCATCTCTCAAGAAAATGCGAAAAGGTATTGTCAGGATTATTTTAAATTTCGAAACACTCTTATGGGATCAATACAGATGTTCTTAAGTTAATCTACAGGCAATGAATAATGCCGGTTATTTCTTATGCATCAAATGGAATTTGGAGTGGTTCTTTATTGAAGAAAGTAAACTGCAAGTTTCTAAGGAAAATTCAAAGGAGATTTCTTTTAGAGATTATTCGTGGCTAAAGAGCTATTTGTTACAAGGCTCTTTTTATTATCACTGGTATTCTATCAACAGATATTGAAATTTTGAACAATATTGTGATGAAGGAAAACATCTGCACTTCTCGTCGAATTTTCTTAACGGCATTCTTCCAGTTTCTGCTTTGCCGCATGCTTTTAACAGAAACTCTATATCAAGTTTTAGCTATTCCGATCTAGTCTTCAAGAGTACTAATTTATTTGTTTCAGCAGTTGGAAGCAAAATGAATGATAAGGTTGGCCTTGCTTTTGTTATTTATGAAGACAAACAAGAAAGTGACTTCAAGCAGTACAGATTGAATGATACGTACTCTGTTTTTAAGGCTGAGTTTCTATGCTTAAACTTTGCTGTTAAATAGACTCAAAATTCTCGTAGTGGTTTGAGATTAACGCGTGTTTTAATACTCGTATGTAGTGATTCTCTTTCTTTGCTACAGTTTCTAGAGAAAATTAGTGTTTCAGATAAACTTGCTGTTAAAATTCAGGTTATTATTAAGACCTTGGGAGATCTTGATATCGACATTCATTTTGCTTGCGTTCTTCGACACTGTGGAAATTTTGGAAATCAAAAGGCTGATTCTGTAGCAAATTCAGCCAAAAAAACTTCACTTTGATTAGATCCCCATGTTCCTGTTTTTCACTCAAAGCGCTTTTGTGAAAATGAAACTATGTGTATTTGGAATAGAGAATATGTGGCCTCATTAAAAGCACAACGGACCTTCCCTGCAGTTTTTCCACAGAATAAAAGTTGATCAGTTTTGAACAGATTTTTAAATTGACTCAACTTTTGATCAGACATGGCAATATTAAGTGCAATTTAAAGCAGTTTGAACTTGTTTCAAATGTTTTGTAGGTAGGGGAGATAAATATGTTAAACATACGCTTCTTGAGCATGTTCATTATGTCCAGCAGAGGAAGATACTTCAAGCGCCTTTGAAGCACCTGTCTGTATCTTGGCCACCAATTTTTCCTGATCTTTTACGAACTAAAGAGACAATTTCTGTTTTCGTATTTTCGTTCTCAAATTAGAATATATTCTCTTATTTTAATACTTTGTAGAGGCATTAGGATTTTTTTGGAAGCCGGAGAGATGAAAAATTAGCAACGCCTTCGCCGGGAATCGAACCACGGACCTCTGGAAATACCGTTCCAGTGTGCTGACCAGTACACCACGAAGGCACGCTAGGAAAGTGGGAGAAATACCTTATATAATCCCCTTTTTAAAGAGCGACTGAGGTTTTCAGGGGACCCTATCGCCAAATCCTGGGTATGGAGAAACCTCATCCAACACCCTTTTAGTTCGGGCGCCACTGTAGAGACATTAGTTATTTTTTGGAAGCAGACAAGATAAAAAATTAGCAAACGCCTACGCCGGAAATCGAGCCACGGACCTCTGGAATACTGGCCCAGCATGCAAAACCACTACACCACGAAGGCACGCTAGGAAGGCGGGAGAAATACCTTATAACTTTATTTTATTTTTCTCTTTCTTATTTATTTTAAATTTCCCCCCCTTTTCAGTGCTATTGTATATTCGTTTATTTACTTTGCTAGTTCTATTAACTTACTCATGTAAGCCTCGTGGTATACTGAACAAGAGGAGCTGGAATTAGAGTTAACAAAAAAAAAAAAAAAAAAAAAAAAAAAAAAAAAAACAGTTTAACGAACCACAAAATAATATGACTTGTACCCATGATGACAATTAGAAAAAACAGTAGTAAGTAAGTAGTTTAAATTCTGTCTTGGTGATAAACTGAATCTTCCATATTTTCAATTACATTTTACGCTTGGGGATAAAATGAAAGAGTAGAAATCGATTTGTGCTTCTTATTAATGTTTTATTTGTTGAGAAATTTTAACAGTAGGATCTCGCGTGTATTTTTATTGAATCCCGTGTGTCTGGTGAAGAATAGAATTATTTTAAAGTACTTATGTGCTTCTACTAAATCGTATGTTTAGTGACCAAAAAAATCTGTAAAATTGTGCTTTTATTTTTCTATGAATCAATAAATGTTGCATGTGCTTCTGCTGTTTGATGTAAAATTAAATTTTTCTGAATCCTAATCTTGTGACAGATAGAGAATGAGAAAAATCCGCATTTGTAGTCGATTAATTCTCTCAAGATCATTTTAAATACTTAGGATTCTGGAACAGATATAGTCCTTTTTATAATGACATTGCAGATTCTGAAGTGACTCTGCTTCAGATATTTTTGTATTTTTTAGCTGAGAATGGCTGCTCTGAACCAGCCGTATACTGGCGACATGCATGGCGTTCGAGGAGCAGATTACGAATGCTACAGACAATCCAGAAGAGCAAATTTCCGAGGGACTTTCAGGGCATTTTTGGCGTCCCGCGTACAGAACCTGGACAGCATTGTTCGCCATAAGGATTCAGATTTACCCATTGTTAATATAAAGGTAAGTCAACTTCTTTGGATTAACATTTCGATTTGAAAAAGAGGTTTGTAGACGAAATCAGTCTCTTTGTTAAATAGTTTCCTTCAATTTATCTTAAGTCTTTAACAACAGAAGATTGATTTTTTTTTAACCTTAATAAGTTCGCTCTTTTAACACAATTCAGATGATATCGGACATTAGAAAACTTTAGTAGTGCCTTATGTTTGCACATAGCTGTTAAAATAAATATTTATAATGAATAATGACGTTTGATTGAAAGTCTTTGCAAGCAAAGCACCTGAAGCGAAGCAGATTTCATTATGATTAAAAAAATAAAACTGCTTTAGTTATTTACATTTATGCTTCCTTATGAGCGTTTTAATGCTTATATGGTAAACATGAATATGAATATTAATACAATATAGTTTGATAATTTAAAAAAGGTGATGTAAAGAGGATTTTCAGAAGACAAGTCCACTTAGAGATTACAGTGTTACAGGTTTTACATGAGCTTACTGCTTAATCATTTCTTGTATATTCAATCTAGGTTACGGATGAACAAAACCAGATAAAATATTAAGTAGATTGGCTGTGAAAAGAAATTCAATTAATGTTTGCAAGAAATGTTGATTATATTTGTTCCTTCGAATACTTTTAGAAAGCCCTTAATATTAAAAGAAGCTGATTACTGTATAGAAAGTAATTTGAAATTTTCCAAAAATCATTTGTCATGTAAGATCTGATGTCTAATGGTATCCTTTCATAATGGTACTTTATCTTAAAAATACAGACATCTTTACGCAGCCTTGTTAAAAATCGCCACAACAGGTATCTTTGAAACGAAACCCTGGCGTACATGGAATTTTATTAATTTTTATCTTAAAAAGACAACCTTCATAAAGATGCTAACAGCGCTTTGCAGAAGTGATTTGTATATCTTTCCTAAATTCGGAACAGTGAAATAAAACTGTATTGCATAGCAGTGACCTAGCATATTTTGAGCTGGCACCGTTATGCAGATAACTAAAATTTAAGTTAAAATCTTACATTCTTTCACACTTTTTTCTTACAGTATCATTACTAAAGTTTCTGCTTTATTGCTTACTGGTCAACCTACCTAAAGCTGCCATTATTTGTATGATGGGACACGATTGCATAGGCATCCTGTCGCGCAGATCAATTCATTATGGAATTTGTGTAGATCTGTTGCCTAGATTATAATGGCTGATCATTCACATTTATTCACACTTGCATTTTTTGTCCTGTGATTTAGATATGCAGTTACCTAAATCAAAGACGGAAACCTGCTGTGATTTTTCAAGAAAGAAAGTGGCAAAACGTCCTTAACAAATCTAGCTATTTCGACTACAAAAGTTTGCAGCCATTTGTAACACTTCCTTTCAATATGCTATTAAGTGAACATTTTATTGATTGAAATATAATTGAATTCGAAACTTCTGTCTGATAGATGGTTTCTACGAAGCAATTAAAAAGCACATAATAAAACACATTATTTGAATGAATATATATTAATAAATATTAATTGCTTTGTACAGTATCAGGAATAGTACTTTTTTCATTTTTTTATTCGTAGTTATCTTTTCATGTAATAATTATCTTTTTATATAGACTGATATTTTAGTTTTTTAAAGACTAACCAGGAATTTTTCTTTAAATTTCTTAATTATAATGAAATGATTAAAAGAACTTCATTTAAACAGTATTTCGAATCCAGTATTTGAAACGTGATCAACCAGAGTGACTAATTAAACTGTAGTTTCACAGGCTACATTTATTTATATCACTTGATATAGAAATGTATGTAACATAGTTTCTTAACATAGTAACACTTCTTTAGCAATACATTTTAAGGGTAAGAAATTGTCTGTTATATAAAAAATGAAACAAAACATTTTCTGTCACTTATTTAAAAAGCTTTCTTTAAAAGAAAAATGTGTTTAAATTTTCATTTAAGCAGAAATAATTTTCGTATGACAAAAATGTTTATTTTGAGAAAAGTTTTTCACGTTTTAAGCTTTTCTGAGAATTTTGGTTTATAGCATTTCTTTTTCTGCTATGAATCTATTCTTCCATTTTTTTTCAGTTCCTTTTAGCAAAAAACTAAATTAGTGATTGAATAATATCGATAAAGAGCAATTCGAAGAATTCCTATAATGTGTTTTACTGAGATCATATGTAAAAACCTACAGTTTTTAATTTCTATCTTTTCCTGCTAAATCTTTTCACGTTAAAAACTAATCCTCATAAATGTGCTGGTACCTTAAGATGATCTATTACGTAGTGGTTTCATTCTACATATTATAGTATGCCAGAAACATTGTTTTACAGGTCAGGACTTTCAGCACCTAAAATATATTATGACAAATATATCGCTAGATTTCATGAGACCTGTTTCATGCAATGCCGAGAGATAACAATTGTCGTCTATAAATAGTTATAAGTACTGCTGAAGTTGAAGAAATTTTAGCAGCGGAAAAACTAACGAAGAAGTTCGCTTTAATAACTGCTAGAAGAAAATTTCCGATTTCAGCTGTAATTAAAAAAGAGGTTGAAGAAGGTAATAATATGAGTTGCTAAAAAGTTTTCGACTAAGGTAAAATCTACACAAAACGTCGTGAATTTCCTTATAATGAAACCCTCGGTAGGTTTTCTTTATAATGTTGTACAGCGCCTGATTTCCGCCTAGGCCATAAAGCCTTCGTATTCCCCCTTGTTTGAAGGGGATGCAAATCATTCTATATCTCCCATAATCTTAATTTTACGCCATAAAATAATAAAAAAAGGAGTTAGAGGTTGTGAAAGCGTGCGCTGTTTAGGGTCGTTTTAATCGTACTATGATGATGCAAACTAAAATTATCTGTAGCAAATATTTTCTGAAGTACCTTTTGATTCTTTTCATATTTTTCTTTTCTGTATACGGCTCCAATAATGGAAAAATATAGGTTCTGTATTTGATATTAATATAATAATAAAAATTACCTCCCGATTTATTCGTTTTGTGTTTTTATTTAAAAATTTAATAATGAATAACTTACGATTTTCCAAATGTTCAAAATGCATTACAAATAATCTTCTCTTCCTTGCCCAGATCGTATATATATCCCAGAATAGTTTTTGTAACACCTTTAACTGTTTATATGTTGCTCGTATCTTGAAATATGTCCAAGAAATTAAGACAGAATGTTAAAAGAAAAAGAATCCAGACATAAATTGTAAAAGATATTTTCATATCATAGTCAAGAAAATTCCTCTTTCTCATGGTAGTTTTTGGAAATTTGGAGTTTCGGAGCGAAACCTTTGGAAGGTTAGAGGGTTATGTAACTACGCATTTGATATAGACAAGCTGCTAACTTATTTATTTTTTTTTCTCCTCAGGGCGAAGTGCTATTTAATTCTTGGAAAGATTTGTTTGCCGGTACTGCTGCACCATTTTCCTATCCTCCTAGAATATATTCCTTTGACGGGCGAAATGTTTTAACTGACAATGCATGGTAAGAGTTTATTGCATAATTTACTGAAATTTATGACTTTTTTGTTTAATAATTCTCACAGAAGATTTCAGGTGTATTTGTAATTTAATTTTTAATTTTTGCTTTTCTAGCACAGACAAATTTTATGCAACAGAAATCATCAAATTTGAAATTTAAAATTCAGAAAATTTAACCTAGACTAATGTTTATCTGATAGAAAATTAAAAGAATTTAAAAGGAAATGGACATCGGCTTCTTATCTTCTAACTTAATACCTCATCTTAAAGATGAGATCTAACAGTCTCCTTCAAAATACATAGAGCGTTCTGTAAAATTTGTATTATTCTATGCTAATTCTATCTAATTTAAAAAATAAAAGTTAATAAACATTAAGGATATCAAAAATGTTAAAACTTTCTATGCCAAGTCTAGAAGCTGAATGTCATAATGTATTAAATTAATTAAAATATATTAGTTCGGGACTTTTTTGCCTTTAATTTTATTACTGTAAATTTAATTTACGGTGTTTGTGTAGGTTTTAAATTTAAAGGTTCTGATACAGTGGAGTTTTTTGTTGAACGTACTTTATGAGAATAGGAGCCGCATGTTAGAACTGAAGAAAACTGAAGAGTCGCAACTAAATTTTTCAAGAGCTGCAAGTTCATAGTTGCTTCATTTTAAAAGTAATTAAACAAGTTTCGAGCTGAAATAAAAGCTTGAAGTAAATTAATGAGACTTTCAAATGTTTATATTATTAATATGGTTACAAATAAAATAAATAAATAATTCTTACTTCATCTGTTTCGTAAGATAGGTCATCCTTCCGTATAAGACTATTTGATGTTGAACCAGCTAGGCTACAGAATTAATGACACTCCTGCAAATCATGTTGAGATGCTTGTTTTTTGAAAGACATATTACGCATACTACAGGTATGTAGGTCAGAAAAATAAGACACATTAATAGACAAAGGAAGGATAGCACTTGTTGCGGGTTATAAAAAAACAAGATCATCAAGTGAGGAAATGTAACAAGGTATAGCGATTTCCTTAACACTATGCCGTAGTTTGACAACATCTGTTGTGGAAAAAAAATGTTTGTGCCTGATAAGCCCTCGTTGTTTGATGTGAGTTATTAAATTGAAATTTTCTTAATGAAAGCGAAAGATTTCAGTTTCAAATAATCGCTATTGACGAAACAGGAGTTTTAGGAACTTGGCATAAGATTTTCAATTAAGTTGAAAGCGGAGTTGTCTATCCAGGTTAGAACGCCATCTTCTCCGTAACCCCAAATTTTGGCATGCACAATATTAGATTAATTAAATGATGACCTCTGCTTAGGATTATGAATAAACTATCACAAAACACCTTTAACTGTTTATATGTCCAAGTTCCATATGGAAACTACGACAACAGCATATTATTGTGAGTGGTTGGATTATTGTTAGTGGTTGAGGAAACTGTTCAGAAAATGTACAAAAGTCACTTTGCTTGCTTACAAAGAGTTCTTTCTGAATGTTAGTGCACACCTGTAGGTAAGACAATAATGACGATCTGGTGCCGAAATACAAGTGGAAAGGTTTACTTTATTCACCATAAAATCTATATTTGAATCTACCTTACATTAAATTCTTTCGCAAACTGAAAATGCGCTACGTGGGTAGAATTTTCCCTCTCTGCTAAAGGTTTCTTCAAGTCAGACCCATCTGAAGCCTGAATGGCAATCGTAACCTGCAAGGAATGGTAATCCTCTGGAGACACTAAATAGCAGCTATTGAGAAGCAAGAGAATTACACAAAAGGTTAATTATGAGAAACAGCTTAATGAAGATACATGATGAGAAAAGAAACTGTCTGAAGAAAAAACGGAAAAAATATTAGCAAGGTATTATATTTTAAATTTGCTGCATATTTGTATTTTGTGTTGCACCGATCTCCATTAGCTGTTCTAAAAGTAATATCTTATTAATAATCCACAGAAAGAAATTATTTGCGATTTTGGTTGTTACTATGTGGTTAGCTTTTCGCAGAAAGTGTAAAATCGATTAAATTATTGCACAGAAATGTATTTAAGATATTAAATTACTGATTAATAAAGAAACATGTCGTTTGAGGCTTCCTGCTTCAAAAGTACTTCCAAAATAAAATAATTGTTTATTGCAAGTATGTTGCATCTAAAGGACCAAACAGCATGCAGCTCAAGAGCCGCAAGGAGCCAGTCAGTCACATGCAGTTCGCAAGCCGCAATGTGACTATGCGTTCAAAACACAATAGCATTCATAATACAGCTTTCCTAAGTGGACGGCGTTAAGGTTCAAGTAAATATTGAAAATTAAGTTTTTAATAAATAACCAGATGGCATTCTCTGGAGTAAATTTATAGATTTAATTTTTTTCAGTGTCTATTAGTAAACTATTTGGATAAAATTTCAAACAAATCTAACGAAAAATTATGAAAAGAATTTCGTTATTTTATTGTACGGAGATTATACAAAATGCTAAGTTTTTAATTACAGAACTCAATCTGAATCAGTGTAATAAAATCATTTTCCTTATTTTGTGAAACTTTGTAAACGTCAATTTTGCATTTGAAGTACGTGTTTTAAACACATACTATGAACCCTATAAATATTGCTTATAGTCACCTTTTCCAAAAATCCAATTTAAATAATATGGTACAAGTTTTTAGCTTCTGTATTCTGAAAAGTATTTCAAGATTTCCATTATTTTTATATTTAGTTTTATGTTACGTACATAAAATTATTTTTAAAAGTATTTCTTCAAAATTTAATAAGTTCTGTAAGCCTTATTACTAACGTATTGCAATTTTGAGTTCACTTAGCGAGAGGTTGTATAAGGTTTTCTCAAATGAATAAAATAACCGTGAGAAATTTCGTCTGATTAAAAGAAGTCGCCAGTAAAGACGATTCCTTTTCTCATAATCTTCTTATCAGCTGTAGTTAAAAAAATCGTTTTCCTCAGATAATCTAAATCAATAGTGTTAATTAATTTTACACCAATCTTGTTTCGTGCAATTCTAGCAAAGACTTCATTTGTGTTTGAACCTTTACAATAGTTAGCATATGCTTGCAACGTATACTATGCGACTCATGGTTTCTTACTACATGCTATAATACACTCTGTGCCCCGATGAGCAAGACATTTCATCTTGCACGTAAAGGTACGTGAACTCTGGTTGAAAATCCTTGTCTTACATTATTTTTGGGTTACTTGAAATTGACGAATAAAAAACCTTAATTAAAAATGTTAATCTTATACAAGTGTTTTCCAACTTTTTATTTTTATGTTCCAGAATACTTGAAAATGTATTGCCCACCAGTGGCCGAATGGTTAAGTTCGACAGACACTGGTAATTCGATCTCAGTTGGAATTTTCCGAAACGGAATCGTTTCATGGCAGTTTTAATGCTTTTTGCTCATGTATAACAGGAATATGAGCAAGTACCTCTTGAAATATCTTCCACGAAGTTATCCATTCCCTTAGCCGGATAGTCTTTACGTGCTTTGCTGTATTCAAATAAGCAATTTAGGAAATGTTTATTAGCATTCGACTCATTATGACAGTGCTGCTGTTACTAATCTCACTTGTTTGACAATGGTCAGCTTAAGCCCACGACATTCGTCTTGGCAATGAATCAAATGCAATGCACCTGCCGTTAGTAAGAGCCTTGAGCACCATATAGGCGACAGCCGACGAGGATCCCGCTCCCAATTTTGAGAGAAGCATCGCAGGGTGACTGGTCCGAGGGTCTCCCATCATTCTTCCCCGACCATCAACCTCTCGAGAGGACTTTCGGCTTGCCACTGACACCATACATTTACAAACACCCATGCCTTTTCCGAGATTTGGTCCTGGCCCCTTCGATACAGCAGTCAGAATCGCTAATCACTATACTAGCTGGGCGGTATTATGACACTAAGCTAACACGCACTGTAGTGTTATTTCAAATACAGTGATTCATAATGTGTTACATCATATTCATAATATGTTACATAATATCTTACGACTCATAAATCTTTATCAAAGGATAGGAGCTGCTCTTTGTTCCCTGCGATATTCTACCTAGCACGATCAACAGGTGCGGAATCCCTTGGATAAGTATTCTACTTTTTTTTTCTGCATCAATTAAAATAGCGAAAATAAAATTTTAAGATTACAATGTCGCTGATTTATTTGATTTATGTGCTATTATTAGTGTTTTTGATTAATTATTGTCAATTTTGATGTTGCATTTCCGTTTTACTTTAAGCTTTTGATTTTCAACGCATTTTGAATTTCTGATGCAAGTTTAAAATCTTCAAAAACATAATTTGATGATGTAAATTTCCTTAAAATCCCCGAAAGGAATAGCTTCCGGGGATTTCGGGGATAAAATCCCCGAAAGGAGTAGCCACAATACAGTTCATCGTTTCAAGTTGTTCATCGTCTTCGATTCATAGGTCTCTTTTCTTGGCAAAATAGTAAGTCTTGGCACTTGAGAGTTTCAAGCCTTGGTGCAAGCAGTCCTATGAAATGTAAAAATAAATACGCAGCTACGTCTTGAAATTAAGTCGTTTATTTATTAAATAAATGTACAAGCTCTCTGTGGCGTCAATTTACGATGTAATAATATCATATTAAATTTTTTCTACAATTTGTTTTCACATTTTATGTGTCCTTAACTTGCCGTATTCTGTGTCTCTAGTATCTGTGCAATTAAAAAAATATCAAGCATTACTATTAAGCTATTCAATTTATCGTAATTGCTCAAATGCAAATTATTTCAGTCGTTAAACGAAATCTGAATACCAAATATTTGTACTTTGTAACTTTTAATTTCTTTAAATTTTTGAAAATTGAATGGAGAATTGATAGGGTCGTTAGACTGTAATCTGAAGTTTTCAGATTGCAGTTCAAATTCTTTGTTCTTTTTGTCTGATCGCAAAAGCGAGCCAAGACCTTTGATCATAATATTTTTCAAATCAAATGCAACTTTTACCATTTTTCAGGCCCCACAAACTTGTATGGCATGGATCCGATCGTTTGGGGGTGCGTGAGATGGAAGCCTACTGCGATGCTTGGCATTCGGAGAGCACAACGAAAGTAAGAAACATTCTTATAACCCGTTTGATTTATATTCTGTAACTGGTCTCCAATTGTTTGTTTGTAATAAAGTCACGAATTGTCAGTAGATAGCAAAATAATTCGTTGTAATTTTCTCCATTGTAAATAGATTAATTACTGGATTTCTTATCTAACAGCCTTGAAAGCTAAGGTCAAATCTTTCTGAGAAACATACAGCAATCTGTCTCTTTATATTAATAAATACTAAAATTTCGCTTATCCTGAGCTGATGATCAAGATTTTCTTTTTCTGAAGATACTCGAAGTACATTGTTAAAGTCTGCTGCTCGAATGAAAAATATATTGTATCCTTGTTAATCCCATTCTATCTTTTTAAATGTCGCTGACATAAATACATTTTATCTGTTTCCTGGGAGTAACTAAACCGTTTCTTTTGCGCGATATAAACGGACGTGATTTATTCGCAGGATGAGAGCAATAACCTTTGTTTTCAGCTATAATATTTAAAGTGTTATTTTGTGTAATAGTTTATAAAAGGTCGAGGTGTGCTAAAATGGTCTTTATTGTTCTTGCTAAATCTGTCTCCTTTTTCTTTTTTCAAAGTTTTATTTTTATTAACTGCATATCTTTTAATTTCTTTTTTCATTCTGGACCAAGCATAATTATGGTAACCGGCATTAATCGGATTAGCAATAATCTAAAATTCATTAAAAATTCATTAAATGTCTGCGTATTAGATTTGAATAATTATTCAAATTTAATTGCGTTTTACTTCCCATCCCAACTGGCAATTCTTTCTCAACCAATCTGCACAGATGAGCAGACAGTCATACCAGGTACAAGCTGAAGCAAGGCTGGAACTAGTGCATTTGCGAGGGTACATTAGATATCGCCGAGCTTTACTAAGTGTTAAGCTCAGTCCCAATTTTGATGGAGAACACTGCGGCAGGCGTACCGGGAGTTTCCACACCCTTCTTCCCCTATCACCCCCCCCCTTGAGAAAATTTAATTAAAGTAGTCGTGTCAAAAACATAGTGACGATATCTCATTGTGACAACAAAATCTGGAAGTAGCACTTAAAAAAAGCTAAGAATAAAAACAATTGTACATCTTTATTACTAGAAATGATTTCTGAAGGCAGAATAGTGAAATTATAAATATTGCAGCAAATTCAGAAGGTTTTTTTTTTTCACTCGTGTCATAAACCGTTACAATTAAATGCATTTTAATGAACGCATTAGCTTTTTGCTTAAGGGTAAAGTATGCAAACACGTACACAGTTTTTGATTACATTTCTTTCCTCCTTTCGGAGTTATGCGATTTTTTCTTGTTTCCTTGCGGAGTGTGGGAATATTATAGTTACGTAGAGTTTAGTGAGCGCGCATGCGCTGTCATCGACGATCACAGCTGGATACGTTTAAACTTTGCAATTTTTTGTGAACGACTTTTAAGTGTGTGAAATTTCTACTATTCAGTTTTTCTTAAATTTGCTGGCAAGTTATGGCTCGAAAACAACGTCGGCATTGCTATAACATAGCATACAACTACGTGTGATTGCATATGCTAAAAAACATGGAAACAGAGCTGCAGAAAGGCATTTCGGGCCACCCCAAATGTAAAAATGATAAGAACTTGGCGGAAACAGGAAGAGGATAAAAAAAGCAACTTTGGAAAAAAAAAAAAAAAAAAAAAAAAAAAAAAAGCAATTGGGTATCTGCAGAAAGCATTACTTCGTGTTTGTATTACTTTATATTTAAAATACTGTAAATTCATTATAATTATCAGTAATAAAATTTTATCCTTCAAAAATGTGTATAAAAAAGGGGGTGCGTCTTATACGCCGGCAAATACAGTATACGGCCTTTTAGTTCAGCTTTCTTACTTAAACCAAACGCCATCTGAAGCTATTAATGACTCTGTAAGTCTTCTCTACAGAAATAATTATAAGAATTCATTTAGCATGTGCTTTCGTAGTGTAACTAAAAAGCACTTCCGGCTAGAATCAGAAGGTCTGAACATTTTTCACGTCACCTGCTTCGGCAAACCTAATAGCGCTATCATAATTACTTTTAGAAACTTGATCTGCATCAATAATATGTGGTCGTAAGCACCTTTTACACTGACTGCATAGGGAAATCGAACTGAAAATCATGAGCTTGGCAGTTTAAGTGAAAAATCGCCTTTTCATACATTTAGAACCTTAAATTCAAATAAGTCTTATTCTGACATAATCTTTAATTTTACGATTAATTAGAATATTTTACAGTCAGTCTATTCGATTTGATGAGAAACTTATTTTCCAGGTCGGTGTTGCCAGTTCCCTTCAGCGACATCGGTTGCTGGATCAAGAGAAGCACCCCTGTGACAGAAGTTTTATTGTTCTCTGTATCGAAGCAACGAGTCAAGACGACTTTAGAAGACGGCGCAGGAGCAATGGTGGATTCCCGTTGAATCAGCGAGAATACGAAAAAATGCTGCACACTTTGACTAGATCGTGAGAAGATTACCTGTACACTTTTCATGAATATCATTGCCTGCCCTTAAGCTCAACTTTAAAAAAAAAAGTGTCCCATAGTTCTGGAACACTCTTAATATTTAGGTTTATTTTATACATTTAGTACCCTCATTCTAAGACCCACTGTATACATTTGAATAACAGTTACACAGGATTCGCTGCTCATTTCTCAATCCTCATTTTTGGCTTTGATGTATTATATCGAAAAAATAGCTAAAGAGTTATCCAGTAACGTGCACTATGGTTGAGATTTGCATCAATCTTCCTGTTTATTACAGACTTATGAGGACAAAACTTTTTGTGGGTTTCAAAAACTTTCAAAACAACTAATTAAAAATAATTAAAATTAAAACTGTGTTGCTAGAGAGATTATGAACTACAGCAGAGATTTTGAGTAAACGTTTCTAGAGTTTAATATTCGTAGAGTGCTAAAAATATTTTTGAAAAGTTTTTTTTTTGCGGCTGTAATGGGTTAACTGCCATATCAGTCAATTAAAGATAAGCCTATTATTCTGGCTTCAAACAAAAATTTTATAAAAATTGAATAAATACAAATTTAATGACAATTCATTCGTAACTTTAATTTGTTAGCAGCATTTTAAGCGATTTCTAGTAGATGAAACTTTTGAGCTAAAATTTTAATGGAGTTCATTACTTAATTAATTCCTTCTCTGTGCTTTCAGGTTAGCTTTGATTTCAACATAAAATTGACTTTACTTTCTCTATTGCTTTTCAGATATGTATAAGTCTTAGTTTGGTTTATAGAGATCTCTAATACCATATAGAATAATAAGAAGGGGAAAAGTAGCAGTGAAGACAGTGCACATATAAAATCAAATCTGACAGTACTATGCTTCGTCATCTCGAAAATTTATTCTAAAATAAAATTAAAAAGATTGCATGTTTTTTAAATAAATTGCTCTAAATAAATATGATAATTCGCTGTAATAATAATAATACCAATTGAAAGCATTTTAAAAATTATTTAATGATATGATTCTTAAGAGCAAGCAATGATGAAGAATAGCTATAAAAATATTCGAAAATGATATTATTTGGAGTTACTATCAAAAAAATGGCACATGAAGTACATTAAATTCATCGTGAAGATTCGAGTATATTTATGCATTCTTGTATTTTAGAAATGTGTGTTATAAAAGTGTCAAATAGTCTTGATATTCCTTTTTCAATTATGATGTAACGCAGAGCTGAATTTGTATTTTTAACTTAACCCACTTGAAATTTCTTTTGTATCATATCATGGACTAATTTTCTTATTGCACCTCATTGGTTAGAGTGGAAGATTTACATAAATAAAACATCTCAATGAAAAAGGATAGCGAAGGAATTGAAAAAAAATTCATTTCTTAAATTCATGAAATTTCACAGCTTTAAAAATTGAACTGAAACATTTACATTTTAACATCAGTGTTTTCTACTTCAGCAGTATTTAATATGGGGAAAAATGATTTACTACGTAACTAAGTATTACGGAATTTAAATTTCAAGTCCGATTAAATGTGCAAATGGATTTATTGTAAGAATTACATTATATAAAAATTGCGATCTGTTTTATCTGCAAAGAGGAAAATTTAATTTTGAATAATGAACCTCACAAATTTTAGGTATACAAGGTAGCTTAAAAAATCTTTCGGAATGATTGCCTTTCGCGTGAAATGGTAAGAACAGACAAAACATTGTACATTAAAATTTTTCAGCACTAGAAATAAAAATATAATATATTCATTCTAATATTGCTCAATTAATTTTTACTTGAAGATAAGTTGATGCAGTTAATTGGATAGCATCGAATGTAAGAAATTGCTTTTCCTTTAAAATTTTCTGAGAAGCGTACCCAGTTAATATGCTCAGATATTAAAAATAACAATCTAAGATGAATTGTTACACATTTCTTAAATGTTATATTAAAAGTAGTTATTTAATTTTAATCAAGGTGTAGCTGTAATACCATTGCTGTTCTTGTAGATAATGGACACTATGTCAAGCTCTAAGTTGAGATCTACCCCCCTTTTTTTAAATTGGCTTCAAAAATGGAATTTGTTTGGGTAATTAAGATCCTTTTTTTGTTAAAATCCAGGTCGAAAGGTCAACGATTTAGAGCAGCTATAATTCACAGAGAGTACTAATACTTAGGAACTATAGATATCCAGCTTTATATGAATCTCAAGATTATTAAACGAATTTTCAATCTTTCGAGCAATGTAACTTTCCCAACAAGTATTTTTTTTCTGCAGTTTTAAACTTTGAATCCTTATCGATTTTCTGATTTCAGATACAACACATATGGTGCGGTTCAGCTCCTATATTGATGAAAATAACTGATCTCTCCTTCGCTGATAGCCAAGTTACTTTGACCATGTTTTGGCATCATGACGAATGCCCTTTTCGGCTTGGCTGGAAGCTAAGTGCATAGCTACGCCCTTTATAGCTTAGTGCCGCGTTATTTAAAAATACACAGATAAATTCATTAAAGTTTAAAATTATCATGAAGGCTTTCTTTAGCTTAGCAATTTAACAAATTTTTAAAGTATTTATAATTAAAGTATGGAATGATTGTCCTCAAAATTCTAGTTGCAAAATGCCGTGTCAGCATTGGAAACCAATGAATATTCTTTAAATAGGAGCAAATGACACAAATGTTCTATCAGTTTATGCTTCCAGTACGATTACTTTTAATGAGATAGCGGGCCGCATAAATAGCACTTTAGAACTGCCCACCACAGTGCATTTTGAAAGCCTTATTCGAAGAATCTTTAATCATTACATCAAAATCCTCAGAGAACTACAGAGAAATGCCAGAAACTTAATAAACACTGGCAAAGTATGTAGAAATTCAAAGTGACAATTGTGAACTAATTATGGAGTAAATCATTTTACTTTTAATTGTTTTTCTAAAATATTCCGTGGAATTTTTGAAGCTACCTCGTAGAACTCAGGTATATGTAAGAATGTTAATTCTTACTTTTGTATATGTTTATTCATCCTTTGCCAACATATCATTTGCACTGAACGAGATTTTCAAAGCTTGGAGTAAACTTCTTTCTTTTATTTAACTTTTTTTATGCACTGAATGTTATTTAGTTTCTGTGTTTCTAAATGGGACTCAATTTTTTTTAAACATGATTTTGTTATTAACAACTAAAAATGGAATGTTTCATGAAGGTTTCACAAAACTGCAGTTATTTTATAATAAAACTTAGATACACTTAAATTTGTTATTGATAGCTTATTTAATGATAATCATTTGTTTCATCTGTTTTGTTTTATTAATAACCAATTTCCCATTCACTATTATTTTATTAATAATCAAGTATTATTTATGATCTTTTTATTATATTTTGATTGAGAAAACGGCAGAACCCATTAGACGATTTAGCTTCGTATAGTAAGTTAACACAGCCAGTAATTACGAATTAACGAAGCTTTTATACAAGCAGGACATATGGCAATTACTTTTTAAGACAAAAGCTGTTAGATGAACTCCATCATCTTGTAAACAATTTTCTCCTTGTGGCGGAATACTTCGTCTTTATTAGCATCTGTACTGGAAGTGACACAGTGTTAAAACTTAATATATTTGTTCAATTTATTAACGTAGTAAGATTATTCTTGTGACTAATGACTCTTGTGACCCTTCTAAATGAATGTTGTGTCTGACTGAATCCTAGTTTTTTAAAAACACTCCACAGCTGATATTCAATGCTTGCACAACAGCCTCCTGTCCCCAGTTGTAACAGACGCAGCTGTAACAATCTGAATTAGTCTATTTAATACATGCATCCTCAAGAAGTTCGATGTCGTCTAATGAGTTCTGCCACACTCTGGATTATGAAATATTTGCTTGTATTTTACATGAGCAAAGTCAAAACTTTTGTTTCAAACAATTTTGCTTAATTTATATTTTGAAACCTTTCATGTGATCTTTCTATCACAGATCAAAGTGCGCAAGTTGATTAAGAAGGTGCATTTAATCATATCTGGCAGCTTACGGTATGTGTGTCTTTTAGCTTTCTATAAACAGATCAGTCTTTAGACACGTTTAGAAAGATTTAGTGTTCCTTGTGTAATGTTATCGTGTAACACGAAGTTTTTGAAATTGTATCTTGTTGATTTATATACGGTTTTATATTAATGGAGTGTTTTTCCAAGTGACATTTCTTCTGACATTTGTAAACTTTCAGTCTTGCAGTTCACTACAATCCTTAGATTGTTCGTTTGATAACATTCAGACAAAATATGTATTTGGAATGTTTATAAATACCAGTGTTTTTCTACTATTGAGGAAATCTTTAAACAGAATATACAGTTAACATTAACTGAAATTTCCCTGATTAACCAACACATTTTACATTAAACATACTGAAGTGCTTTGGGCTATCAAAGGATGTTACCTAGTATCCTAACATTAAGGAATTTTAGAAACTTCAATTCCTGTATTATTTGCTCCTTCATTAGTAAATGGCTTGAAAAATGGCAATTAATTCCCAGAAATTCAATATTTTATTATATATATTCATAGTATAAAAGTCTGTTAATATTTAAATATTTCATTGAAAATATTCTTAGCTCCACTGCTTATTTTTTTATGTTGTTCTTCAGTTTTATTCGAGTCTTCGGATTTTATTTATCTTAAATTATCATAAAAGTAAAGTACAGATGAGCCATATAATCGGTAAGAAATATGTTTAGTTGAATAAATATTAATCTCAAATGACCGTTAAATTTTACTAATGAATGAAGAAGAGCTTTGTAATCAGCAAGGATTACAATAATACAAAAAATTGCATTTCGCTCGAATAAATACAATTTTTTCCCATTGAAGGGAAGGGGACTCTAGATGGTGAGAAGCATAATTTACTTGAAACTGTATTAAACCTAAATCAACATAAAAGCTTATTAATTTACTATGAACTTTATTTCGCTTGAAAGTGTGGTTGGCTCAAATTACTATTAAACGTCTTTTGTTAAATAAGTACTAATCTTGTCATTTATAAAAAAATATTGATATTTATTGAATTGCTAAGAAAATTATAATTGGCGGTTTTTTACTCGAAATATCCAAGCAAACAATAACCACCAACAACAATAATAATACTTGTAAAATTATTAGTTTTTAATAATTAAAATAATATAAAGAAATATTAGAAATAAAACAAGCTCAGAATACTTCAAAAGTCATAAATCTATTATTTAAAAATAAAACGTCATTTTGCAGAACGCTAAATAACAGCTTGAAGTAAGATTTAAAGTAAACTTCAGAAATTACTGAAATCTGATTGAATGAGATTTGAGATCACATTCTCTTTACTTGTTTGTTTTTTACTTCCAAAATTTATTATGACTGTTTTAATTATTTATTATGTATTGTTTATATTCCTTATACATTTATATTTCAAAATTTGTTATTTATTAAATTTTCAAATACAGTAAGTTAACTAAGCAAACTGCAGTGTTAAAAATATGAGGAAAATTCTTAGTTTAAAATAAACAGAGAAGTTTTCAATTTCATTCCATAAAACAGGTTCTAAACTTAATTTTCACATTCCAAAATCAATATAATATATTAAATATTGATTAAAAAATAAGGCACATTTCAAGTTTAGAATTGAATAGCAATATGTAATTAAAACTAACACATTTATTTAAAAAATATTAAAAAGTAAAGCATTGATTAGAATTATTATCGCAATGTGTATGTTTAATTTTTTCCCTAAATTAATATTAAACTATGAATTAACCTCCTTGTTTAATTTGTAAGCATGAATATAAACGTTTTTCACTTTATTTCCTTGAGACTACGTCCATTGAATGATCTTAATCAATCCAAGGATAATGCCAGTTTCTTCCTTCCTATACAGTCCTCGTGATATCAAGGTCACGAAAGACCTACTCTCGCGTAGAAAAACACTGGTAAATTAGATCAAGTAATTAGTGTGTGTAATGGGTCTACTGTCTGCCAAAACATACCAATCTGTTACTGGAGTGATGTTTACTATTCTCCAGGAATGTAGGAGATTTTGTACAAAAATTGAGAAATAAAAGGCGTGTAGAAAATTAAGTTTTATTTATTTATTTATTTTCCGGTCTTATGTGTCTTTAATGACGTTATTTTCGAAGCCATGGATATATAACAGAACCTACAATCTAAAATATCTGAATATTCTAGAATTCTAAATAAATGTTTTTTATTCTTATTGTAAACCAGTTATATATTATTGTACCGTTTATTGCAGTTTATTTCAGAATATTACATAAATAAACAAAAAATATTTTATTACCTTCAAAAATGCAAAACACCCTCATTTCCTTATTAATTAAGCAATTAAATCTTTTTGTTCTTCTAAATACATAAGCCATATTTATTTCAATTAAAAGGAGCAAAGAAATGAATTTTTATTTACGTAGATGATAGAATTCACACATAAATTTGTTTATTTTCTGTCTATACTAAAATGGGAGTGGCGCCTCCTTGGTTAACCTCTGGAGGTTGAGACATTTTTAACCGTGTATGGCCGCCTTAAGCGGCTGGGTGTGGGAGCCTCTTCGTCTGGTTCATTGTCTATACTAAAATTAAATAAAAATTGTTTCTCCACTCGAATATGGGCAATCTGGAAGCCCGAATTTGGAATTTGTTTTATTATCTATTTCATATTTTGTAAAACTGTAACGAATTTTTGATTAACAAACTCAACGATTTAATGCGAGCAATGACAGCACTGTATGGGGGGATTATCTGCAGCTCTCGAGGCTGTGTCTTGAAAGTTCTAAAAATTAAAAATATGCTTTTTTTAATTATTTTGTGATATTGCTGTTGAATTTACTTTTATGGTTTAAGTGCGAAGAACATGATATTTAATAAATAAAGATAATACACAAAACATTAAAGAAAAACGCCTCTTGGGGCGTAATATAAAATCTGAAAGCTTTCAGATTTTTTTTTTTTTTTTTTTTTTTTTTTTTTTTTTTTAATTTTTACATTTAGTCCTAATAAATTATGATGTTTTTTCTTTAGACTCATGTTGGTTAGAGTAAGAAATCTTTTATTGGCAACTTTAAATAAGCATCCTAACGCATTATTTTCTATGGTATGGCTTACCAGTTTCAGAGTGGTTAAGACAGCTAAATACTGGTAGTTCAAACGGGAATCGAATTCAGATGAATGGACTGACTGCATGAGTATTTTTCGTGGCTTTTTCTGTGTATAAAGTAAATACGAGCCAATTTCCTTTAGAAAGTCTTCCACGAAGGTGTCCCTTTCCTTAGGTAGAAAAACCCTGCTTTGCCGTGTTCAAATAATTTAACCTAATTTTGCTATGATATATTCCTTTTAACATCTTAAATGGATTTTTCTATGTTCTTTTTAAATACTACTCTACATTTTGTGAAGCGGTTCTTGAGATTTCACTGCTCATTTCCAAGCTGCTTATAAGGCGCTGCTGAGAACGGCCTTAGGAACTTAGCACTATATAAATACTGTTACATCTTAAAAAAAGTTTATCATCTACACATGAATGTTTAAATCTTTCATGATATGAAAAGATATGTCTTTCATAACTTATTATATGGCTTACTATGCATTAATATTAAATATTCTGCATTATTTATTGACTCCTTGTTAATTAGAATAATTTCGTTTTTATGCGGAGGCTACTTGATTTTCGCTCAAGGAAGCATGAAAATTTTAACTGGGTTTATAACTTAGCTCACTGGATTTAAACCACAGATTAAAAGTGATAACCACTTTCGTTATGCTAACATGCATACAAGAATGCGATAAATTCCTTATAACTTTCCGGAACCCCACCAGTGGCCAATAAATACTCTGAATACTGAGAGTTTGACCGGGTTGGATCCCAGAATAACGGAATGGCTGCATTATTGATTTTTGTGGTTTTCCTCATATCTAACACGAATATGAGTCAATTTCTCTTAGAAAGTCCTCCAGAAAGATCTCCTTTCCGCTAAGCAAATAGCCCTTATGTGTTCCAATGTATTCAAATAATCTATCCCAGCCAAATTTATGTTCTACCTTAGTTGAAGTACGATTAGAGATTGGTATGACACCCAGTCGATCAAATCGCACTGGCGACAAGTTATTATTCACCACATTTTTAGTTCGGGTGCCTTTCTATCGACCATTCTAGGAATTTAGGAGCAGGGAACGTGAAAAATCGACTGTGCAAACATTGTCATAGCAAATTTTTCTTACCATTTGATTTTGTAATAGCAAACTACAATTATGACAAATAATTTCTTGGGGACTTATAAAATAAGTGAACCTCTCGTTTACTTCTTAGCTAAAAATTTCTGGATTTATTTGGCAAAGTGCAGAGCTTTGTCACTTGAAAGAAAACGTTTACTACGAGTCTAATGAAATAAACGAACAGTTACATCTTAAATAATTATGATGGCTTTTCTTTATTAACTAAGTCCAAAAATCTTCACGTGGTAATTTACGATGAAATAATTCTTCGATTAAAAAATCATCTTTGTACAATTTATCCAAGCATTTTAGTACACTTAAAAGTTATTCACAAAGTAAACTTTTCATCAAATTCAGATAGAAATGCCGAATATAACTCCTGATTACTGATATATAGTGAAATGTTTCGCAGACTAAAATGAGAATTTTTTTTTTAGCTTTGATGACAAACGAAAAAATAGCTTTATCGTCAGCAAAACATGACCATTTTTTACTCCTACATTGAGAAATGGTTCGAAAATACGATATAACCCTTTTAGTTACTGTGGGCGAAGTCACAACCTCGCACTCATTATACAGATGTAACGGATATTTGCTAGTTGCAGGTTAAAACGTTTCACTTTAGTTACCTGCATTTCGCCTGTAAGTCTCTTTATTTCTGTAGCTGACTAGGAAAATCTCGAACATTTTTTTATTTTACAGTTTTCCCCCTACCATTTGGTTTTGCCATTTTTAACAGCTCATATTAAGAAAAAGATTTCATAGTCTATATCTATATATATTTCATAGTTCTGATGTCTCAGAAACTAATTTTTAAACCAGTAGGCGCCTATCGTAAGTGCTCGCATTAAAATTATTTAAAGCGTTAAATTAAAATCTTCATACCAGAATCAAATTTTAATTTAGTTTAAAATTAAAGATTTTATAAGTTTTAATTTTGCGTTTAAGTATAGCAGTTTTCCTGTCATTATGCTCTTAAACCTGAAGTCAAAAAACACTTCTCTCCCAAAGAAATTTATAAAACAGTTGCCCGCCTCAGGAAATTAAGAGCTTTTTTTATATTTCCTAAGAAATCTCTCTCGTAATATGCTAAACCGAGACATGCTTTCAAGACACAAAATGATATTTATACTGCAGTAAAAAACTGATAATATACCTCTTTGCATTTATTTCAGCGCTGTGAAACATTAAATCACCTTTAAATGAATTCTGGTTGCTTACTTGATTGACTGATTGCCGGTAACTGGAATTTTAACTGACACTGAATCGGGCAAAAAACCTAGAAAATAATAAAACTGCTCTCCGGCTTCCTGCGCTCTGATTCGTTGAGAAGTGCAATTGCAAGACCTCACAGCGCGTCATCGCGAGACATGACGCAAGCTCTGCAATAATCAGTAAGTCATTCGAGGTCATAAAAACGGATTTAGTGTTGTTATTATTTATTGGCTGGGAGGAAGAAAGCAACCGATGGGGTCCGGTCGGGAGCTTACAGTGATGTCCCGAACTTCGCTTTGTTTCGAATGATCTGGAAACAAAAAGTCCAGACATTTCGAGGTTAAAGACGGGATCATGAGCGTCATTTAATATCCTCCGTCTCAATCTGACGCTTTTGATTAAGTAATCTCTCGGGGGACGTGCCTACAATAGAATTCGCCACTGGCCTGTAATTACCTTTCCCTCCTCTTCGAACCTACCTGACCACTCATTAAGAGGGCCTTCCACAAAGCTACTCCTGCTTCTCTGAGCCTTGCTTTGATGATTCGAGGCAGCGTGCACAGACTTGGAGAAAGGATCCTCAGCTGTATGCACCTGAAGTTATTAAAGAATTATTGCAGCATATTTTGCCACAGTTGCCGCCTCAGATACGCATTTGTTTATATTTCTAGATATTTTTTTGGACAAGGAACTGTAGACTTGCCCAAGTTTAATTCTCACGCTAAACAATGTTAATAATAAAATAAAAAGATTATATTTTAATAAGATTTTTAATGATACTAATTTAAATGTTGAAGCCATTTTTTGTGCTTCTGTATGCATTCATCGTCGGAAATGTTTTCCTTAATATTTTACTCTGGTGCATTAAAACTAAATTCATTTAGATGTTGAAAATACAAAAAGATACAATCTTTTACTTTTTTAAATTAAATTGCATTTGTTATGGTATTTTTACTGAAGTAGTCAGGCCTAAAACCATGTGAGCACTTTTTCTAATATACAATCAGTTACTCATAATTTTTACTCAACGTTTATATATTCATTAACACATCACCATTCTACTAAAATAGTAAAAACTCCAAAATTGATGTAACATTTCCCAGGAAAATAAAATAGTCATTATATAAAGCATGATGATTGCTTACCTATGACCCATACCGTGCGAATTATTGGTTAAAATAATCTAAACTGCATTGAAATATTTTATTTTTATCCTATTGTTAGGGTTAGGCATCATCGATTATAATGAAAACGAGGAAATAATGCTAAAAATTAAATGAATAAAGTACAGGTACAGGTAAAAGAATGGAGGACACCAGCCATGAACCGTGGGTTAGCTGGTAATGCCTTCTCATACTAACTATTAAAAAATTGCGAGTTTTATCAGAGTTTACAAGTGGAAATTTGAAAAGGAATATTCCTGTAAATTATTTCAATGTATGGCATACCTATAAAATCACAAGTAATACTATATCCTTTCAAATTTCATTGCAGTTTATGATATTAACTTTAAAAGTATTCGTTTGGTGCAAGGTGGAGATGAGGTTTTCTCAGGAAGAAAGAAATTTTACTACTTCAAAACACATTCTTAGAAAAACGTTTGTTAGCAGTTTAAAAATCTCTTCTTAAATATTTGTCAG